AGACGAAGGTGCCAGCACCTGGCTCCACGACGGACGCGAAGGCTGGCCCTTTGGCGCACTTGGGGCTGGCGTCACGACCTGCAGAAGAAGACGCGGCAATCAGTACTACGACCCGGTCGGCCACAAAGCACTGGACCAGCGCACCGGAGGCAACGGAGCGGCAGCCGGCCGCAGCCGGGGATAGGCCCAATCCGCGTCATCGTGGTCTATGAGAAGAGACTTGAGCCTCTGCTGTTCTCTGACGCCGGCAAGGTGTAGATGGTTAGGTGAAAAAATACAAATACAAATATTCACCGTATAAAATAAAAGAAAAAATGGATTTGTGCAGACAAACATACCCGCGCCAGGCATCAAGTATCTCGGGAGGATAGTCCACCTCGTTCTTCGCCTGGTGCCGGAGCTCCTTTTCCGTGCGCAGTGCTGCCCTCTCATGTCCGTGCATTTTGTTCTTGTGTAGGCCTGTTTTCCCCCTTTTTCTTTTGTCTTCCTCCTGCCTTCAGTGAAAGGCGTCAGAAAAAGGAAGGGAAGAAATCCAAAGAAAATAAAGGGCAGCACCAACAGCCTTGAGTGTCAGGGCCAGTGGCTCTTTTGGGTGTTGCACATGCTGCTGGAATTTACCTTTGTGTTGGAGAGTGTGGAGCATGGCACCCCAACATGTCAGGGTGGTACCTGGTGGCCCTGTGCACATACACAGACAGCCACAATCTCAATTGCCAAACCTGTGCTCACTCACATGGGACCCCAACAGCCTGCTGCCACAGCTTGGTGTCCTCAAGTATTGTGTGGGCGTTTTTCTTCTCTTTTTTCCCCTGTCCTATCAATTTCTTCATTTTCGCTGGTGAGGCGGAAGATCAACAAGCCACGAGACCCGTTAGTTCGATTCACTAGAAGCAGAGATGGACGAGGTGGGTCGCGTGTTCTTGGTGAGGAAGACGGTGCTGCAGATGCTGCAGGATAGGGGCTACATCGTGCCGCAGTCCGATCTCGACATGGATCGCGATTCGTTCCGATCGAAATTCATGGGCGAATCGGCCCTCAATCGCGAGGCGCTCACGCTTCTCATGCAGAAGAAGGACGACCCGACGGATCAAATCTTCGTCTTCTGGCCCGAGGATCTGAAGGTGGGCGTCCGCCCGGTGAAGAAGTACTGCGATCGCATGAAGGAGGAGGCCGTCTTCCGTGCCATCGTCATCATCCAGCAGACTCTCACCGCCTTTGCCAAGCAAGTCTTCGCCGAAATGGCCCCGCGCTACACGATCGAACATTTCCAAGAGGCCGAGCTCCTCGTGAACATCACCGAACACATCCTCGTCCCCAAGCACAAACTCCTCACCGAACTGGAGAAGCAGACCCTTCTGGCCAAGTACAAGCTCGAGGATTCGCAGCTCCCACGAATTCAGGTGAACGATCCCGTCGCGCGCTACTACGGGCTCCAGAAGGGCCAGGTGGTGAAGATCATCCGACCCTCCGAGACTGCAGGCCGCTACGTGACCTACCGGTTCCTCTTCCTCTTCCCATTTCGCAATTCAGATCGCTTTGATTTTTCTTTTTGGCATCTTCCAACGATGGGCCGTTCGTTGCTCACACGACCGTTCTCCTGTGTGCAGGCTCGTTGTGTAAAGAGGCGGAGCGGGAACAAACGAAAAGCGAGAGCAGTGGCAGGCACGCTCACGGTCGGCAGGTGGCAGGAGCAACAGCGAACCCTACACTCCCCACACCATTCCCTTCGTCTCTCTTTCATCTCCACCATGTCCTTCCACCCACGGTCGTCTCCGTTGAATGAAGTCTACTCGTTGCTCTCAAGCCCCTTCTTCTTTTCGCGTTCATCATGTTCATCATGTTGGTGACGCGCAAGACTAACAGTCTGGTCAGCCCTGGGCGGTGATGAAGATGACGACGGCGAGCAGCACCACGACGCCGCCGACCACGGCCCACAGCAGGGCCGGGCTGCTGGCAGCGTTGGCCTTGGCCTGCAGGGCCTCGCGCTCCGCCTTCTCCCTGGCCACCCGCCTGGCGTTCAGCTCGGGCTGGATGGCGATTAGCTCGGTCATGATCTTCTCTCGCTCGCCGGCGGTGATGTTCATCTTCTTGAGCTGCTTCTCGTCGAGGCCCTCCAAGTCCTCCAGATCGACCAGCTTGTTCCGCCTGAAGCGTGGCGCGTGCACCTCCAGCCCCGCTTTGCTCAAAAACTCGGACACCTCTGCCACAACAGCGCGCAGTGTGAGCACGCAATGCTGCGAATGTCGTGTCGCATTGTGTCGTACCACTGTCGTCTTCGTTCTTTCGTGGTGTGCGGTGTCGCAGCTTCTTGGCGCTCTTCTCGCCGTCCTCCTCCTCCACCGCCTCGGCGCGGGACTTCTTCGTTGTCGGCTCCTGGGCCGGGCTCGGCGTCTCCTCCTCCACTACTTCGGCCTGGTGCTTCTTGACGTCCCCCTCGGCACCGTGCTCCACCAGAAGATCGCGCATGGCTTTGCTCCGCGCGCACTCGAGCGCAGTGTCGCCCTGCTTGTTGCGCACCTGTAGACCGCACGCGGCGTGAGCCGTCGTTGTTGGCTGCATCCGGCCAGGTGTGTGCGGGACGTACGCTCAGATCGGGCTTCTTGGCAAGGATCAGCCGGACGAGCGCGACGGCGTCGCTCCTTGCGGCGAGTAGGTGCAAGGCGGTGTCCCCGTCCTTGTCCTGCACGTTCAGGTCACAGTCTAAGCACGGCACGAGTGAGTTGAAGTCTTTTGGCAAAATCGAAGAAGAGAGGCCGCAATGCCGCGTGCCGTGTGCCGTGTGAGTACCGCTGTTGACCAGTTCGCGCGCCACCTCGTAGGCGTCGGCGTTGATGGCGGTGAAGAGCGGCGTCTCTCCCTGCTTGTTCAGCGCGTCCTAGACAGTCGAGATAGTATGGAATAGATGTGCGGAGCACGCATAGTCGCGTCGACGGTCAGCTGACGACTGACACAGCGGCGAGCAGGCGGGTACCTTGTTCGCGGCGCGCGAAAGCAGCAGTTGTGTGGCGTTCGAGTTGCCTCGGCTGGCAGCATCTTCTCAGGGTCACACACGCGCACACGCACGAAAACGTAAGTCAAAGTCGGAGAGCTGCTCTCAAGTGGTTGAGTGCGAGGAAGACGCACAATGCAGAGCACTGAGGCCCTCAGCAGCCGTGTTCACGTTCGGGTCTGCGCCACGCTCGAGAAGCAGCCTCACCTGACACACACGGACACACGACACACGACACACGACACACGACACACAGCGTTGATCGATCAACACACGGCGCTGGGGCACCATGAGGTGGGCAGCGGCCCGTCGTACCACTGCCTCCTGGTCGGAGCGAGCCGCCAACTGGAGCGCGGTGAGTCCATCCGCGTCCTTGACGTTCACCTCGGCGTTGTGGTCCAGCAGGGCCTGTGTTGCGGAGAGTCGGCGAGCATCGTCAGGTGGTGCATGAGCGACATTGCGTGCGTGCGCGTGTGGCATGGTGCACGCACGGTGATGATCTCTTCGCCACAGAACTCGGCGATGGCAATGAGCAGGGCTGATTGCTTGGCCTTGTTGAGCTTGTTTGTGTCGGCGCGGTTCTCCAGCTGTGCAAGTGTCACAGATGTGCGTCAGCTGG